GGCAAAGGAACAGAAAAGAATTTAGAAAAAGCCTTTTATTGGTATCAAAAAGCGGCAGAAAATGATAATAGAGAAGCAATGATTGTTTTAGCCGCATGTTATGGTAATGGCAAAGGAACAGAAAAGAATTTAGAAAAATCCTTTTATTGGTATCAAAAAGCAGCAGAAGAAGGTGATAAGAAAGCAATGTTTATTTTAGCTCAATATTATGAAAATGGAGAAGGAACAGAAAAGAATTTAGAAAAAGCCTTTTATTGGAATCAAAAAGCAGCGGAAAATGGGATTAAAGAAGCAATGAATAATCTAGCCACATGTTATAAAAATGGAGAAGGAACAGAGGAAGATTTAGAAAAAGCCTTTTATTTGTATCAAAAAGCAGCAGAAGAAGGTGTTAAAGAAGCAATGTTCAATTCAGCCATATGTTTTAAAAATGGAGAAGGAACAGAAAAGAATTTAGAAAAAGCCTTTTATTGGTATGAAAAAGCAGCAGAAAATGGTGTTAAGCAAGCAATGTTCAATTTAGCTATATGTTTTAAAAATGGAGAAGGAACAGAAAAGAATTCAAAAAAATTCTTTTATTGGTATGAAAAAGTAGCAGTAAAAAATCTTGATAATCAAGAAATGTTGAAATTAGCCGATAGTTTTAATTTAGGAACAGAAAAGAATTTAGAAAAAGCCCTTTATTGGTATCAAAAAGCAGCAGAAAATGGTAATATAGCAGCAATGCTTAATTTGGCCATACTTTATCATAATGGAGAAGGAACAGAAGAGAATTTAAAAAAAGCCTTTTATTGGTTTCAAAAAATGAAAGCAGTATGTGGTAATAATCAAGCAATGCTTGATTTATCCATATGTTATTATATTGGAAAAGGAACAGAAAAAAATTTAGAAAAAGCCTTTTATTGGTATCAGAAAGCAGCAGCAGAAAATGGTGATAATCAAGCAATGTTTAATTTAGCTATATGTTATTATAATGGAAAAGGAACAGAAAAGAATTTAGAGAAAGCCTTTTATTGGTATCAAAAAGCAGCAAAAAGTGGTGTTAAGGAAGCAATGTTTAGTTTAGCCACACTTTTTAAAATTGGAGAAGGAACAGTAAAAAATTTAAAAAAAGCCTTTTATTGGTATCAAAAAGCAGCAAAAAATGGTGTTAAGAATGCTATGTTTAATTTAGCCAATGGTTACTACAATGGAGAAGGAACAAAGAAGAATTTAGAAAAAGCCTTTTATTGGTATCAAAAAGCTGCAGAAGAAGGTGATAAAGAAGCAATGTTCAATTTAGCCATATGTTTTGAAAATGGAGAAGGAACAGAAAAAAATTCAGAAAAATCCTTTTACTGGCAACAAAAAGCAGCGGAAAATGGTGACAAAAAAGCAATGTTTAATTTAGTTGATATATATGCAAATGGAGAAGGAACAGAAGAGAATTTAGAAAAAGCCTTTTATTGGTCTCAAAAATTAGCAGAAAATGGTAATGAAATAGCAATGTTTAATTTGGCCGTATTTTATCATGATGGAAAAGTAACAGAAAAGAGTATAGAAAAAGCCTTTTATTGGTGTCAAAAAGCAGCAGAAAATGGTTACACTGGTGCAATGTTTAATTTAGCCAAATGTTATCAAGATGGAGAAGGAACAGAAAAGAATTTAGAAAAAGCATTTTGTTGGTATCAAAAAGCAGCGGAAAGTGGTAATGAAAAAGCCATGTTTAACTTAGCTAATAGATATTATAATGGAGAAGGAACAGAAAAAAATTTAGAAAAAGCATTTTATTGGTATCAAAAATCAGCAGAAAATGGTAGTGAAAAAGCAATGAATGAATTAGCCATATGTTATAACAATGGAGAAGGAACAGAAAAGAATTTAGAAAAAGCCTTTTATTTGTTTCAACAAGCAGCAGGATATGGTGATAAAGAAGCAATGAATAATTTAGCCACATGTTACGATAATGGCAAAGGAACAGAAAAGAATTTAGAAAAAGCCTTTTATTGGTATCAAAAAGCAGCAGAAAAAGATCATATTGAAGCCATTTTTAATTTAGGCAATTGCTATCATAAAGGAGAAGTAACAAAAAAGAATTTAGAAAAAGCTTTTTATTTGTATCAAAGAGCAGCAAAAAATGGTGATGAAAAGGCCATGCTTAACTTAGCTATATGTTATCATAATGGAGAAGGAACAGAAAAGAATTTAGAAAAAGCCTTTCATTTGTTTCAAAAAGCATCAGAAAAGGTTAATGATCAAGCAATGATTAATTTAGCCATATGTTATGAAAATGGAGAAGGAACAGAAAAGAATTTAGAAAAAGCCTTTCATTGGTTTCAAAAAGCATCAGAAAATAGTAATGATCGAGCAATGATTAATTTATCCAGTCTTTATCTAGATGGAAATGGAACAGAAGAAGATTTAGAAAAATCTTTTTACTGGTGTCAAAATGCAGTAGCAGAAATTGGTGATGAACAAGCAATGTGTAATGTAGCCACATGTCATTGTTTAGGAAAAGGAACAGAAAAAAATTTAGAAAAAGCCTTTTATTGGTTTCAAAAAGCAGCAAAAAGTGGTGTTAAAGAAGCAATGTATAATTTAGCCAGATTTTATGAAAATGGATGTGGAACAGAAAAAAATTTAGAAAAATCCTTTTATTGGTATCAAAAAGCAGTAGAAAATGGTTTGACTGATTCAATGTATAATTTAGCCAATATATATGCAAATGGAGAAGGATCAGAAAAAAATTTCGAAAAAGCCTTTTATTTGTATCAAAAAGCAGCAGAAAATGGTGTTAAGGAAGCAATGTTTATTTTAGCCAATAAGTATTACAATGGAGTAGAAATAGAAGGGAATTTTTATAAAGCATTTTATTGGTATCAAAAAGCAGCAGAAAATGGTGTTAAAAAAGCAATATTCAATTTGGCCACATGTTATAAAAATGGAGAAGGAACAGAGAAGAATTTAGAAAAAGCCTTTCATTGGTATCAAAAAGCAGCAGAAAAAGATGATATTACAGCAATGAATATTTTAGCCATATGTTATGAAAATGGAGAAGGAACAAAAAAAAATTTAGAAAAAGCTTTCTATTGGCATCAAAAAGTAGTAGAAAGTAACAAAGTGAGCCCTAATACTAAAGTTGAATTATGTAATGAATGCAAGCAACCAGATACTGATTACCAGTGGTGTCAACAATGTAATGCTAAACAATTTCAACAAGATTTTTCAAAGTGGACTAGTAAAAATAAGTTTATTGATGAATTTATTCAAGAAGCACAATTAAATGCTAAAAATAGTTATGAAATTTTGGAATGGATACCTTATGATAAATTGTCAAGTATTAATTATTATAATAAAGGAGGATTCAGTGAAATTCATAAAGCTATCTGGTTAGATGGACCTATTTTTAGTTGGAATTTTGATAAAAAACAATGGAATAGATGTAATTTTCAAACAGGTTATGAGGTTATTCTTAAAACACTTAATAGTTCATCAGGTTCAGATGATAAATTTCTGAATGAGGTGTAGTATTTTTATTTAATAATCAGTTTTATTTCTTTTGCAAAAGTTTAATAATTTTTTTATCATTTATATAGTGTAAGTATCATTATAATTGTCAGAAAAATTCATTTTCAAAATTTATTCAGTTCTTTGGAATAACCCAAGATCCAAATAATTTAAATTATATAATAGTAATGAGTTATGCAAAAAAAGGAAATTTGAGAAAATGTTTACCTGATATAATTAAATTTAAGTGGCAAGACAAGTTACAATTATTGAAAAAAATTATATTAGGACTTAAAGTAATTCATGAATCAAATTTAACTCATGGTGACTTTCATGATGGTAATATTTTAATGTCAGATAATTACAATGAATTATTTATTATTGATTTAGGATTATGTAAACCTATAGATGATTCACAGGATTCTGATAATGATGATAATGAAATTTATGGAATTTTACCTTACATGGCACCCGAAATATTAAGAAGAAATCCCTATACTCCAGCAAGTGATATTTATAGTTTTTCAATGATAATGTGGGAATTTACATCAGGTATTCCCCCATTTAAATATGAAGCAAATGATCAAAACCTTATCTTAAGTATTTGTGAAGGGGAACGTCCTGAAATTATAAAAAATACTCCAAAATGTTATATAGATTTAATGAAAAAATGTTGGGATTCAAATCCTGCCAATAGACCAACCATAATTATGCTTGAAAATACTATATCTGAATGGATTAGATGTATTAATAAGTATTACGAATTAAACAGGGATGGAATTGGACATTATGGAAATTATAACCATGAAGTAATTAATACTGATAATCAATTAAGAAATGATATGTTGGAATTTATAAAGGCAAACGAAGCTTTAGTACAAAAACAAGCAAATTCTTCTATTATACAATCTCATCCACAAGCATATTGTGTAAGTCGTACACTTACTGGAATTTCAGTTCAATCAGACCCAGTTCAAGAAAAGACTGAGTGTCTTGATTGTATGGTTTAAGATTAATGATTCTGCTATTTATTCTTTATTTGCTGGATTATTTATCGGTTATTGTGTAGAAAATATTTATATATTTATACAATTCGTTACTATTATTTTTTTATAATTAATATAATTGCAACTGAATATTTACTTAAAATATTATCATAAAATTCACTTTTTGAAGTTATATCATCAATACTAGACTTTTCAAAACAACTTCAGTTGCTTCTATCTATTTTCCGTCTAATTGATATTGATAAATTATTTTAGACAAAGTTCAGTTGATATATAGTTGTCTGGCAATGCTATATTTCCTAATGTCAAAACAATCTAAAGTTTAAAATATTTAAACATCTATGTTTATAAAAAAATTTATCCAATCATATAATCACTTTCTACCCTATGTGATTTTTGTGGCACATCAGCCTCATTTGCTTTTTTTCGTAACATTACCTTAGAAAAATTTTTTCGCTTCTCGCATTTTTAAAGTATAAAAAATATTGATTTCATGCTTTTAAAATTTCATATTTAATAAAATAAATAAATTATTTACTTTCTAAAAGTTAATAAAACACTAAAAATATGTTTTATTGGTAAAAAAAAAATGATAAGTTTGTTTGATTTTACATTGACATTTATGTCTGATTTATTAATAAACTAGAATATGCGATTTGCCAGGGGACTTCGTCCCCCAAACATAACATTTATAATTAAAAAAATTTTTTGATATAAATAAATTGAATTGTATGTAAAATATTACCAAATAATAAAATTTTATTATAATTAAACCTATAAAAAATCATGTTTTTAATAAGGTTTTATACAATTTTTTCTTAAAAATAATGTTTCTAATCTATATAGGGATACGGAAAAATGCACAATTCCATATCACAAAAATGTATCATTTTGCATGATTTGACCATAATTTATGCCGAATTTATATTGATTTGATCACAGAAATTACATAATTTAAGCATAGAATTTACACGATTTGGTTAATGAATTTACTGCTTAAATTACAATTATTAATATTAGTTGCATTTATATGAATTT